CCTTAATTTATAAGCGTTCTGCCTTTTGCTGCTGCATTCCGTCACTAACTGCATCACTACGATAATGTGTAAGGTTGCAACGTACCTAGAGGCTACAATATATATCAAAAATGCAATATATTCCCTTAATAAGTATAAAAACGCATAACATTACCAAAAAGCATATCGACCCGTTACAATGAGGTACAATATTTCATAAATACGAACTTAAATCTTAATATAATTAATTGAATGAAAAACAAAAATTGTACCATTATATTGACTAGGTATATTATTATTTGACCTGAATCAAATTTCTGTAAAAAAAAGCAGCGTATTAGCAAAATAAAAATAAATGCAGATGTATCAAGTGTGAGTCCTAATTATCAGCATCACAAGTGGCATTAAGACGGCGAGTAAGTGGTTTACGGGAAATTGATAAATACCTATATATTACGTAAATGTATGCAAACTATCTAATTTTCCTAATGTTGTATTTCTGTAAACAATTTTACTGGCCGTAAAATCACCCATTGTAAAATATAAAATGAGTGTAAAATAGGTGTAAATAAGTTGTCAATATTATTCATGCAAAGAGCTACTATGAATAATATAAGTAACAGGTGCGTCCTACCTTTTTTGAGTTCCTAAAGCATATTCTTCGGGAGACGGGGAAGCGGGTTTGTCAGTACAAAGGTGATTTGGACTCGTTTTGACAGAATTGTGTTGCACAACGCACTTGCTGAATGTGGCATAAAAATGGTTGATTTTAATTGAAATTCTTGACTGGGAAATCATAGCACTGCACAGTATAACACCCATTGAAACGCAATATATAACCTTTCTGATCGCAACGAGAAAAGGTTCGATCATAGGTAAAAATGTAAAATCGTAGTGAATCGGACGATGGCAAGATGAATGCAGATAAAACTAGTGGTAACGACCTACCTATAGGTTGTGGAAAGATTGATGACCAATGAAAAATATCGCTGTTACCGTTTGCCGCTCTGCACCGAGAATACCTATACCGTAAAGTTAAAATTCCACTATTCATACACGTGTTCAGAATATTCATATTATTCTCCAAATTATATAAATATTTTCTATAAAATTGTTCTGATAAAGGTCCTTAAACGATTTTAGTCATTAATAATGAACGTAAACACAAGGTGAATAGTTTAATATTTAACAATTATTTGGTATATTATGGTCAAGTCTTATGTGTTATTCACACGGGCATGGCTTAAACGCCTTAAACGGTAGACGGAACACTGTGATTATGGAATAGTAGGTAGGCTTCAACACTGATGATGACCTCAGGCTCGACCAGTGGCGCAACTTGACCTCTAAACGCGGGGGCTAAATCTGTGAATGCATCACAGTGGGGGGCAAAGCCCCTCACACCTCCCTGCATCTAAATCTACAATACTTGATAAATCAAAACTTTAAAATACATAACGCACTTCACATAAATAAAAGAAAAGAAATTAATAGTACTCTTTTTTATGACAATATCAATAACATATTGGTACATTTTAATTTCATAATCTTGTTAATAAATAACTAAGATATCATATATTTTAAATCAGCATAATTTTTCAGGGTTTCATGCAGTATTTATTCAAAATAGTTTCGGTATTAAGCTGATTTATTAAATCTTTTTTCAATACTCAGCAAGACAGAAAAGATAAATTAGTAAACCTTTGCTGAAGCATGCTTGATCTTAGCCAGTTTACTATCCGCCACATTGTCGAAAAACTTCGCTCACAAGTAGCAAAGCTTACCGGAATTGTAATTGAAATTTACAAAAGTTTGAATACATTTTCATTTTTAATCATTAATGTATAAAGATTAAAAATTATATAATAAAGATTTACCCATTAAAACGTTATTATACAACTCATGCGGCCATGCGGGTTCATCAGTAATATTGCAGTCCACCGCAGTATACATAATATATTTAGTATAATATACTATATAGTGCTCTTTGATGCGACCTATTTTCCATTTTTTAGCTAAAAATAGCTCGTAAGCATTATATTATTTTCTCCGTATAATGTATACCATATCGTTAATGGTTCAACAATTACAGGAATATCCGAATATGGAATGAATTATATTACATGGCTTACGACCAAATAATTAGACATTTTTCAGGGAATTTTCGATAATTTAAAAACATAAAATTCAAGGAATTTCAGTAAAATTATAAAAGTTGGATATAAAAAAACAAGGGGCGCTAAAAAAACCTTTTTGCACCCCCCTAGTTGCACCACGGAGCTCGGCGGTTGCCTCCGACTTAACATAATTTATTGGTGAAATCTTATGAGGTTCTAAATCCATACTGTCTAGAATTACCACAATGGTAATCATAACAGAGCGATATTTTATATCCGTCATTCTTATAACACTGGCTGTAGTGGCCGTTTTAGCCATGATGGATTTCTCCATTTTCACATTATTCAGGTCTCTTCGTAGGTATCTTAAGTATTGGCGTTGAGTCAAAATGTCGACCTTGAATCCCAATATTTAACAAACCGTTAAATCGTTTTAGGTCTCCTGAATATAGAATTTTGTAGTGCTGAAACAAGTCTTGATCTCCACGGCGCAACGACAAGTGTAGCGGGCTGGTACCGAATTGGTTCCCGAACTCCAACCCCACGAGCCAAATTGGTTCCCGTTTGTGTACGCACTTTTCCTTCTCAATTTACAGGCTTAGGACTGTCAACTTAAAAGTAGGCTTGGTTAAAAATGTGTGTTAAGATTACAGTCTAGTTACAATTTTAATTTTTAATTTTTAATAATTGGTACAAAATATAAATGTACACTTACCGATAATTTGCTAAACTTCCAATACAACAATAATATATTGCCATCGTATTGTATATTATACTATAGACGACACTACTATAGTGAAGGTACATTTATATTTTATACTATCTAATTTATATTTTGTACCAATTATTAAAAATTAAAAATTAAAATTTTAACTAGACTGTAATTTTAACACACGTTTTTAAAAAAGCCTACTTTTAAGTTAACAGTCCTAAGACTGTATTCTGTAAAATTGAGAAGGAAAATGTGCGTACATATCTCAGCTTAATAAAATACCTTTTTCAAACGGGAGCTAATTCGGTTGCTCCGGTGTAGCGCCCAGCTGAGATGCTGTAACGGTCGGAGGACTTGTGAATTTTTATAAACCATAACACCATGATGGATAGCATATCAGGGTTGTTGTCGAAAACAATAACATTTTATTGTTAAATATAATGCGATATTGCTAGTTAGTTAAAAATGTGCTTAGAATAGAATTACTTTAGCAATTCCTGGAAACGTACCATTAAAGTACGGCTTATTCACATATATAACATAGTCCATTTATAGTACTAATACGATAATAACGTTCATATACAAAAAACAACTGCAAGGGCGTTGGCTGAATTGTGGAACCTTTGGTACATTAAAAAAGGAAGGGGGACACCACTTATAATAAACCAGTCCGCAACACAGCATATTGTATTATTGAGATGTACCATCATAGCCGTCGAGTCCTTAGCACCTTCGTGTCACACACGACTTGTAGTACATACAAATACATTTTAACTTGTGTTTTTTTTAAATAAACAACCATTTTCCATTTACTGTTGGAATTAGTCTTGAATTAATTAAAACTCTAAATCATCTGGATCTACGTCTGAGCCACACGCAGCAATGCACAAAGTAATTTATTTATTATTCACCGGTTTCTTGTAGAAATATACAGTTTCATACACCTCTGCGGCCGTTAATTAGAAATAAAAATGTACTGTACTTATATAATAATTATACAGCGGGGTCACACTATGACTTCACGATAGCTATACTTTCACATTGTCATGACGGTGTTGCAGGTTTCTAACACCCTCAAATCCCTCAGGGGTAAAATTATCCTAGGATATTTTACTTGTTTACGTAAAGTTAACTTTAGAGAAAATGACAAACTTACAAAGGCATAACTTCGAAACTAATCCAACAGCCAAATTCTGACTTCAATATCATTTTCAGTACCTATACCTAACTATAAGTTAAGAAAAAAAGAACTTTAAAAAATAATTCTGATTGAGTACCAATATTCCCGATTTTTAGTTTCATATACAGTTAACCTTATAAAATATGTTACTGCATATGAGCATGTATATGAATATAATATATAGGATTGTTTTTAAGTATACACATGAAAAATTTGGTTTAATGCCTATGTATGCTCTGTGCCATTCAGTTGTTGATGGCTAGCCTGTCCACACGTTGTTCATATTCTGATGAACATCGTGATATATCTTTTTTATTTGTACAACATAGAAATACAAAAGAAATAAATTCGTATGTTATAATTATTAATATATTATATCCACAATATACTTCAATTTAGATTAAAACAAATTATTTTTAAATTTCTAATATAATAATAATTACTAAGCTTTAATGAAATTTAATGATTAATACAATTAAAAAATTTAATTAGTAATATTATTTTTACTTAAACGGGAAAAATTTTGCACGCGCACGAAACTGTGTGGTCTGATACCTTGTGCGTCACCAAAAGTAATAAACATATTTGAGAATTGCAATATTTGCGTACAATACGGTTGTTATTATTAAAATGGAGTCTTTCACTTAAAGTCTTATTATCTATTATTCAAAAAAAGCGATACTGATAACTAATAAATATAGATAAAAATATAACCTTTTTTCATAATATGGTAACGACAAAATATCAAATACATTAGATCATTCCATAAAATCGACTAAACCAAATAGTATATGGAAATCAAATTTATTTTATTTTAAATCATACAATTAATACAATATATCTATTTAATATTAATATTGAGTATAATATTTATAGTAAAATCCAACCAATATTGGTATAGTTCTGTATAATATATTAATATGTATTATTTTATGATCATACATAATATAATATGTACATCAAAACGTTGATACATAAAAATATCAAACTTTAAAACAAATCACATCACTTATAAAATAATAATATATTAAAATATAATATTCTTGAGCACAACTACAAAAATGTTATAATAATTACAAACAAGTATAAAAGATATAATTTTGGGATTTAACGAGCGTTTACGTCGATGAGACCGTTGCACGACTGACATACAGTCGTTTAAACGAAACTAAATGAAGCTTATAATATTATGATCGCGTGTCCAACACACGAAACAATGTAAACGGTCGACCGAAGGAACATGTTCGTATATATTATTATACTGGTTAATAATATAAAATACAAAATAATAATAATAATAATAATAATAATAAATGGACGGATAATATTTTACAGACATGAATAATATTCCTATAAATCAATATGGCAACTCGCTATTTACTCGTGTCAAAAACATGCCGCATTATAAAAGCCTATGAATTTAAATATTAATTAACCGTATACATATAATATACCGTATAATTAGATAAGTTTACATGATTAATTTCTCTTAAAACATAAGTAAAAAAAAAAAAAATTAAAAGTAGGTACTTAAAATATCAAATACATTATAATATAATATTATATGAATATAATATCCCTTTTAAAAAAGTATACATAACGACGCTTTAGATAATATAACGGCCGTCGTTTAATAGATTTTCGTTTCATTATTATTATTAAATACTTTTGCAAATATTAAAATGTTAATTATTTAGTTCCGTATGGGGGGGGGGGGGGGGCTGACCGAGAGAACATGTTAAACACCAAATGCTATTGTGTTCTCTATCCACGGTACAGATTCTACGATTGCGTTGTAAAGCGATGGTTTTGATGATCGGCCGTAACCACCCCGGTAACTGAGCATGCCTTGTACCTGCCACAATCCATTTTCCGCCAAACACATTAATGGTGATCCAATTTCCATCTGTAAAATGGCAACGATATTTTATAATTCAACGGGAAACAAAAAAAAATATATCAAAATGATTATGGTAAATGTAACAAAAAAATTAATTATGTCCTTGATATATTTTAATGAGCGAATGAGCGACATACATGTTATCATTGTACAAGGTTTTTGTGTACATTCTATTATTTCATAAATGTAAAATGTATAACAAAACTAAATTTAAATCACAAATTCGCACATAATATTACTATAAACAGTAATCATTCAGATACCACAGATGCTTTGATTTCAACAAGTTCAAGAGTCTTTTGAAACACAGAGGTAGAATATTTAACAGGAATGAGCATTAAGATATTTTATTTAATTAAAAAATAAAAATGAATGAGGATATTATATGAAATTGATGAAGGTTCTGTTTTTTTTATTTTTTGTAGTCAGATTAATATATTAAAACTGTACAAATTAAAGAAGGTTTAAAATTTTTTTCCAGAGCACTTAGTTTGTTAAATTAATATTTCTTTGTAATATTATTTATTGTCAAAAAAGATGTTGACTGAGCGAAGCCATTAACATTAAATCAATATTTTTATTTTTATTGAGCAATAAAAATAATAATACAAATAAATTATAATACTGATGTAAACTTGAATTATAATTTTATATTAGTTACAAACTCAATTATATAATTGAAAATATATATGTATTAGTATAAATAACTAATAAATATGTACTCAAATTTTGAAATAATGGAAGATAGTCGTAATCGCATTATAATTTTGTGAAACAGTAGGCATTTAAATAATTTTAATATTTTAGTACATTTTAAAACCATTGTAATTTATTTATTTATCCATATTATTTAAAAAAAAATGTATTCCTACAATTGATATTATTAAAAATATGTAAAAACTGTATCACCTATACCAATCTACTGTTATAGTAATCAGTTCATGAATGGTCTGGTTGAATAATAATTATATTTTTTTAATATGATATACCTTATACCTAATCTTATGTAATATGTAAGATTGATTTTTGACCATCTCAAATGTTTGAGCTAAATATTATACTTATTTTACTATACATTCGTACCTTCTGATACATACGCGTTTTACATTATACAATACACGCTAGTCATCAATATAATATTTTTACCAAAAACACTGTACCTACAGACCTACAGTTAGTTGTTAGTTTATTAATATTATTTAAATTGTGATGGTAACACTTACATTACTGGCTTCCATTTCTCCCGAAGCAACGCAGATTTCCTTTTCTGTTAGGAAACCATTATAGTGTTTAGTTGAGTTGCACAAATCTGTTTGCATTAATGGTTCAGACAAATAGCGTGAAAACTGTTTGAAAACTGTAATTATAAAAAATAATATGTTTTTTATTTTAATATCAATGAATACTCGTGTTTATAAAAATGCATCTAAGACTGAACAGTTCTTAAAATCTTTTTACGGAATGTACTGAAATATATTATGATATAATTATTTTTGCTATTTAATATTTTAATAATTTTAAAATGTGCAATTTATAACACTGTAATAACTGTACTGATTTCTGTAATAACATAGTTTAGGGAATAACTAGTTATATACAATACACACCTCCTGGAGACTCATAAGACCAACTGGCAGTGACACATGGTTGTTTGTTATCAACAACTTGTTCGGGTAAACAAATTGTATTTACTTCGTCTGATAAATCATACGGTATGCTAAGTTCTACTAATACCGAGTCGTTGAAATAATGTAATTTTTCGAATTTTACTCCAGGATGACTAATTATCCTAGAAACCGATCTTTTTGTTAAATTCTGTTCATTCGCTACTCGAGATTTGCTTGAAACCGCTTCCCATTGTTCAGGAGATAGAGATTCATCGCTAAAATAATAAGAATACACATTTTAAGATTAAATAATTAAACTATTATTTTTTTTTGGTTTTAACAGAAATATGTACTAACATAGAATGTACACAGCTATAAGACGATAGTATCCAATTCCGTTTTACAAGACTAGATGTACATGACTTATGGGTTTTTGTGTTATGAAGGTAGACAACTGAAGGCCACATTTCCATTGATAGTGGATCTTTGCCTCCAAAATCTCCACACACTAAAAAATAGGGTAACATTTTCAATACAAAAAATTAAATCCATACAAAATAAAGACGTACGGTGCTTAGAAGAACACTTGATTTCCACAGTCTCACAAGATGTCGACGCTGGTTCAAGATATCCCGTCAAACTCTTAGAACTATTTAAAGTTGAGTTATCTCTTAACTTAAGATAACCTACAACGTTTTCGGTAGAGTTTTCATTTGCTCGGAAATTAGTTGTTTTTGTTTCAGTAAATCCAAGACTTTGACACACAAAGTTGCTCCAGGTGTCTGTCCAATTATCACTACATACTTTCATGGCGACTTCGCTTTCTTTTCTGTTATTAAACATAAATGGTTTATATATAATATAGTTAAGTTAGGCAAGTACCTATTACTATTTTTAAGTCAAGTACTAATTATTTCGAGTCAAGTTGTGTTCAAAAGTCAAGTACTAGAATAAGGTCGAGTTGTCGAAAAAGGTCGAGTACTCAAAAATCGTCTCGATTACTCGAATAACTAACCTTACTCGAAAAGGCGAGTACTCGTAAATTGCTAGAGTAGGTATTTTAAATTACATGAATACTAGCTAATAGGTATAGAACAATTAACAATTGCATTTATTATTTTTATTTTTTCAATAAAATATTGGAGTAGGTACTCGATTTTAGATGAGTATTGTTGAGTACTCGATTTAAATCAAGTACTCGTGTTTACTGGTACAAAAAAAATGATGCCGATTTAAGTCGAGTATTTGATACTTTAATACTTGACTCATAAATTTTTTTAAATACAAGTACTCAAACTAACTATAATATAATATTCTTATTGCTGTTTGTATATAATATTTATAACATATTAATATTCAATTATATACAAATCTACAGAATACATACTTTGCGAAAAGTTGAGCTCCATCGAGTTGGACACATTGCCATTCATCACTTCGGTCTGTGCACTGTGCTATATTGTCACAAACTTGGTTTTTAGGAATACATTCTGACCCCGTATTACACTTAAATTGGTCGGAATTACATTCTAAAAATAAACCATGAAAAGTATTAATGCTTTATATTCGATCTAATTTTTCTGATTGTATTCCTTTGTGAGAACGAGAAGAGGTCCTACTTATTAATCAACATTAACATTTAAAATAAAATTTGAAATATTATGTACACAATCGCATTAGATAGATAATTATTTTTCAGCTGTTCTTTTAATGAAACTTCGCCCATTTCTAAGGTTTAATATAAGTAACTAGTAATAAGACTGCATAATTACGATTAACATAATATAACAATCAACATACCACAATTTTGTTCGTCTTCGCCTCCGGTACAATCATTTACTCCATTGCACCGTAAGGTACTCGATATGCAATAACTGTTAGAACATTGATACCCATCACAAGTACCTAAAATGAGAAATTATAAAAATTTCATAATTTAATATTTGTATTATGTTTGCATTATAAATAGTATTACTATTGCATTGTAGCTCATCTGAATGGTCATTACAATCAGATTTTCCATCACAAAAATAGGATAATGGTAAACATTGTCCACCAGTACATTGTTTTTCGTCATTGGTACACTTCCATAAATCTATTATATAATCAATAACATATTAAATATATATATTTTATTGTGACTTTAAATAGTGTAAAAATAAAAAAATTATGTATATTGTACACGAACCACAAGACTGTTCATCACTGCCATCTTCGCATTCCATTATGTTATTGCAGACCAGATTTCTTTGTAGACATTCTCCACTTTTACACTGTTAAAGACAAATATTGATTAATTATGATGTTATAGTCAACTAATTAATGAATTATACTCTTATTACCTGGAAATTTCCAGAACAAGCATTTTCAGCACAGTCATATTCATCTGAGTTGTCAGTACAATCTTTATTTGTATCACATCTTGACGACATTTTTATACAATATGAGCCGTCCTTGGTAGTACCGTTTATACACTGGAATTGTCCTTCTTCACATTTGTTTGAATTTAATAATTCTGGCATCATATCTATGGAATCTGATTTATTATTTTTTTTGTTTTCTTTTTCTGTTTTGGTTTTGTTTCTCTTTGTAAATCCACTATCAGAAAGATAAAATTCAGGATTTTTAGATGTCTTTTTATCTTTTTTTTTTGACTCTGGTTTTTGGTATAAATCTAAGGCACTCATATTATCATTTTCATTAACAACATCTGAAAAGTTTGATTCACCCGAGTGTGTGATAATTTGATCTATCGTATCTTGTTCATCAGGTGAACTATTTTCATTGAAATTGTCAATATTACTTTGGGTAGATGTACTTACGACATCAACATTGGTTAAATTAGTTATCTGATCTTCCAGAGATGTTAGAGACTGTAACTTTTTAGTAGGGTCAGGTATACTTGTTTTTTCCAAAGTTATCAAATCATCTGAATGCTTTTTTTCTGAGGAATTTGGATCTGTTGAGATATGCAATGGATTAATTACTTCTTGATTATTAGTTGAAGCCATAGTGGTCATATCAATAAATTCGGTAACATGTTCGCTCGTAATATTTTCCAATTCTTTAATAGATAAATTCATATCTTCTTTCATGGTTGTACCTTCATCTATAGTTGGAATGGTCAGGTCTGAAATAGTTAGTTCTGGAATTTCGGTTATTTCTTCAATTGGACTTTTACTGTGGGATTCCGATATTAAATCAATAGTAGATTTATTTTCGGATTTTAATTCCATTTGTTCAAAACCTAAAGATTCTGTCTTCATTTCCTCTTCCGCAGATCCATTTTCTTTTTCTGTTACTTCCAAATCACTGGGCAATTTAGGAATACCTGAAATTACAGATGCAGACGTAGTCAACCAATTTTCGGTAATCGATGGAACTGTACTGGATTCTTCTGGATCATTCAAATCAACATTTCCTAACAATTCAGAACTTTCTTTGGGTTTAGAATTGTCTTTAGACGGTAACTCAGTTTTCGTTTCAAATTCAGACTCTGTTGATACAGTATAAGTCATTTCAGGTTTGATTTCATGACTGAATACTTCTTCTGAATGTGATTTTGCTTCTCTATCAGATTGGTCCATATTTAAAATTGATGTCTCTGTTGAAGAACTTGAAAATGGTTTATTATTTTGCTCCGCGAGATCTGAGTCAGAACTTATATCTACGTCTGATAATGATTCAAAAGTGTCAATTGAACTTGATTTTGAGTCTGGTTCTGCACTAGGTTCCGGTTCCGGTTTGGTGTCTGGTTCAATTTTTGTGAACATTTCTGATTCTGATTTTATTTTTTGTTCTGGACTTTCTGGCTGATTTGACTTCACTTCGGATTCAGGTTTTACACTAGAAACAGAAGTTGGCTCCGGTTCAGCTTTAACTTCTGGTTCTGAACTAGGCTCAGGTTCAGCTTTGACTTCAAGTACAGAACTTGGCTCGGGTTCAGCTTTTACTTCAGGTGTAGAACTTGGCTCTGGTTCAGCTTTCACTTCTGGTTCTGAGCTAGGCTCAGGTTCAGCTTTGACTTCAGGTACAGAACTTGGCTCGGGTTCAGCTTTTACTTCAGGTATAGAACTTGGCTCTGGTTCAGATTTGACTTCAGGTAATGATGAACTTGGTTCTGGTTCAGCTTTGACTTCTGGTTCCGAACTAGGCTCTGGTTCAGATTTAACTTCGAGTACTGAACTTGGTTCTGGTTCAGCTTTCACTTCTGGTTCTGAACTAGGCTCAGGTTCAGCTTTGACTTCTGGTTCTGAACTAGGCTCCGGTGCTGCTTTGACTTCTGGTTCTGAGCTAGGCTCCGGTGCTGCTTTGACTTCTGGTTCTGAATTAGGCTCTGGTTCAGATTTTACTTCAGATACTGAACTTGGCTTCGATTCTGCTTTCACTTCGGGTTCTGGGCTAGGATCAGATTCTGCAACGATTTCAGGTTCTAAACTTGATTTTGGTTCTGGTTCTACTTCAGGTACTGAACTTGGCTCCGGTTCAGTCTCCATTTCTGGTTTAAAATTAGGTTTTTGTTCATCTTTGACTTCAGGTACTGGACTTGGCTCTGGTTCAGATTTCAATTCAGGTTCTGAGCTAGGATCATGCTTTGAACTTGGTTCAGGCTCTGCTTCCGATTTTTGTTCAGGTACCAAACTAGGTTCAAGTTCCGAAAAAGAATCATATTCGGACTTAGTGTCAAAGCTGTCTTCTTCATTATGTTTATTATCATTATCGTTAATATCATCTATATTATCATGGTTACCATCTAAAAAAAAATACATATTTATTTAAAGATTTTAAACACATTTAATTGTTTATAAACACTTACTAATTCGCTTGCAGTCTTTCATATTTTCACTTATTGTAAGTTCAGATGGACACGAACATACAAATTCTAAACTTGTATAATCGTAAGAACAGTAATGGGAACATTTTCCGTTATCGGTTTTGCATTTATCCATAACAACTATAAATATTATATTATACGTAATTGAAATATTATATTATTTATAAAAAATAAGATAACTACTATTAACTAGGTAGTGTTTGCCTTTACTTACGATCTGAGCGCAATCTATGGATAGGAACTCTATAATTGTATAAAAATCCATTAGTCTCCCGTAAATAACTATCTAATCGAGTGTTAAGAGTTACTGCATCAATGAGATCTTGTGGTTCATTATCATCTTTATATTCCCATCCTATTCTATATTTAGCTACTACACTTCCAGAACTATAAAATTAATGAATAGTAAGTTAATTCAAGTCCTATTTAAATCTATAATGAATCAACAATACTTACGAAAATTCAATGACTTTAATATGTACATCATCAGTAACACTATTCAACGGTTGTTTTTTAAAAAGAGCATTTTTTAGCTGAAAGCATATGAAATATTATTGTAAAAATAAAATTTTTAATTTAACGATAAATTACCTCGGTTTCGATTGAACTAGCTAATGTTTTAAATTCTGAAGACGATTTGTTTGCTAAGTCAGGAGTGAATTGCATATTGTCAATAACAATTTCACCTTGTACTGTTCTAGGAAGGTAAACTCCCGACATATCGGTGGTTGGAGGGCTAAATGGACTCGAACTTTCTACACTAGGAGGTGGGCTGACTGATGAGAAATGTCCAAGGTGATTACCAAAACCAGCAATTTTCTCATTCTCCATGAAATTCCGACTCTCCACTGCGGTTTCGTTGTTGAATATTATACCGGCTAAAAAAACGAGGAATTAATCTTTAATTTGTAATTTAAATCGATTTTACTTACTTGACGCTAAAATCGCGACGATGACAGCAGCAGCCAATAAGACTAAGCCAAACACCCAACAAATAAATGGTTTTTTAGACTGGTTCATATCTCGTTTATCTTTGGTTACATACAATTTTTCTCCACCCCTGCAATAAATCAAATTAATTAGAATTAATTTATTAGAATTAATTTATTATTTATGAAAAACACTAACCTTATGTATTTTTTATGTTCATTCACCGGGATAAAATAGTCATCGTAAGTATCATTCATATTGACAGCTGTTTCTTTTTTTTTCGTGGGAACTCCATTTTCTTTGCCATTAATGCTTTTGCCGAATGGTTTCATATTAATTAATTCTAAATTCACAGCTTCAGCCATTTTATCCTTTTCTTGATTAACGGTACCATTATGCCCGTTAGATATAGGTTTTGGTACGTCAGTTTTATCAGTCTCAAAGCTCGGGTTATCAATACCCGTGCGAGGTGTTTCCATTTCTATAAAAAGTAAAAATACATACCATATTTATATCATATCTCCTTATGGATAATATTATATGTCAATATTTAAATACATATAATTCAATAAAATATTTGTTTTGAATTATGGGCTGAGGATATGGTCTTTAACTGCGATAATCTTGTAAAATCGGAATTAAATTACTTGTAAATTGGGAACATCAAACAATATAGTTCGACATTTTTCATTAATTGAATAATAATTGTATACAACAATACCTTTGGAAAAGTCGGGAACGTCTATAATGAGTTTAGCGTCGCCAGCAGATGATTCTGTGTTAGAATTGTCCAAACCACTGTCGGCATTGGACGAGGACGGTGGCGACACTCTATGGTTGGCAACCGTCCGGTCACCGTCGTATAAGGTGGTCACAGAGTTCTCTTGCATGAATTTAGTGTCACCGCCACTGGTTGTCGACATGTCCCCGTAGTCTCCGTAACCACTCAGATTTCCACAGACACTACTACTACCATGTCAAATCTGTAAAATTTATTTGAGATTAATAACTGATTTGGGAACAATTATTTTTTATTTGGAAACAAGCTTAGTAATTGTAATTGGTATAATATATGTATAATATAATATTATTGCAAACTATAGGAGAGCTTTATTATCATATTTATATTGGGTTTTATATACGCAAATTTTAACTTCGAGTGTGGTCTATATGACACCCCATTTGTACCTATATAACTATACAAAACCAGTGAAAGGTGCTTCATATCTAAAAGAGTTATGCCAGAGATTAGTTAAATAAATTGGAGAGGAAAGAGAAAGCTTACAAAGTAGAATATATGCAATAATTATTTGCCTTTGGTAGTTTTTTTTTAAATGGTAATATTAATATACAACTAGATAACCCTGCTTTAACTAAATATTTAAAATGCTTTTAAGTTTTGAATTTGACCTTCTTAATCAGTTATAATATGTAAATTACATTCTCTGTATTGAAAAATATCATTATTATAAATATATGTTAAGATAATTAATTAAGATTGTTGGTATCTAATACCAACAGGTATAATATATCGAAAATTTAACAAAGTTACAATTTTTTTATAAGTTTTAAAATATTAATTCATAACATTTTAAATTTTAACATCATACAATATTCTGTTTGATAACATTACAAGATTTGATGTAAGCTGTTACCACAGAAACCTAAGAATCTGAAAAATAGTAAAGTATGCTTTTTTTATAGACATTTCAAGTTAAAATTTCGAGAAAATTGGATATAAATAATAATAATAATTATGTTGTTGTAATTCAAAATATATTTTTCGTAGGAACTTGAAATTTTTAACCACTTCGTATATTTACGTATTATTCACATACTGACAGACGGTCTCCCCTTATTAGAATCGTTTTTTACCGGATATTCGTATGCAATTATTTATCATTGAATACTTGAATCCAAATTTAACACATCCAATACCGTAACTTCTTTAAATGTTAGGTTAATTTTAATTCTTCTTTAAATTCTTTTAACATAACGCAGTAGGTATAATATTATTTGAAATCTAAGAAAATAATATTTGAATTTCTTAAAACAATTAAAACGAATTTAGTTTTTTCAATGTATAATATTCTATACGGACTTATGTATGAATATATTCATACTATAATTGCTATATCTTAAATGGAGACAAAATAGTCCTGTTAATAAGCTAAATATAGAACCCGTATAGAAAGCTGTCCACCAGATAAGACATAAAACAACTGAAGACGTTTCGGGATATTGCAGATCGTTGTATGAGTGGACAGTGGATATATATAGTTTTCATGATGATTTGTAAATAGACTAGCAACTACTTTTCATAAATCGAAGAACCGCAATCCAAATAATATAAATGAGATATCTTTCCGGTGCTATAAACTCAAATAAATAATATACCTACTTTTATATTTATTTTTGTCATCTATATAAAAATAACTAGTTATGTGGGATTTTCTTAAACCGAGGGATAATTTTTGACTAAATGAGGTCAAAAGTACATATAAAAGCAGAACCATTTAAAATTTAAATCACAGTTGAAGTATTGAATTCTATACGAATGAAAACCAATTGGTACATTATAGCGTGTCGCTAATGACTAACCACCGTTTAGTGTGCGTCATCATACCCATTTCTTACGGACTTTAGGTGCACTAGAAAATGACTGGTGTCATCACCGGTGAAAAGAATAAAAGAATTGTATAATAAACACATTAACTGATCTGCAGACTGGCGAATTTCAATAATTTGTCAAAATTATTTATGGCTTAGAGTTAGGACAAGGCGGTTATAGGTACAATTATGTGTAGTGTTTCTTAACATAAAATATTTTCGACTTATTTGTGTCACAAGGTTAAACTCACCTCATAACCAACGGGAGTTGAATTATTAAATGACAAATACTAGTAGCTAAAGAAAAAATTTCTTTTTTACAATTGATCATCACTTGAGAACGATTCAGAGCTTTTAAAAAAAATATGTTATTATGTATAATTAGGTATACACTTTTTAAAATGTATAAATTAAATAATTCAGCTTATACCTAACATTATGAATTTATACTCAGTAAACTCAATTGATTTTAGTTTCAGTTTATAAAATTGTGTTTTTTATTAGCTTATTTAAAAATATACATCAGCATAAAAATATTGTATCTGAATATTTCATCAAACAGGTATTTTCTTAATAATTTGGAGAAACTATTAACAGAGGAAATTTGAAATATTTAAGCAGTTTTTGAAAAAAAAATGTTTTGTTTTAATTCAGAATGAAATATTATAACTGTACAGAATTGAAATTTTATAAAGTACCTGTAAAATAAAATTGTGCTCACAATATAACATTTTCAGTTAAAATGTTGATGAAATTCGTTCAAACAAATAAAAATAAGCAGATCATATTCATCATGTTGTAGTTGAACATTTATTACAATTTTTAATTTTGATAGCTGAGGCTTGAAAATGTAATACAAGGTTCGTCATAAGTTTTTCTCATACCAATAATTCAAAAGTATCAGAAATACAGTCACAATTGCTTTTTTACGTAAGAGTTTAAATTTCAAATTTTGAGGGAAATCTGATATTTAAAACGTAAAATAACGTTTTTGGTTTGTTTATTTCGTTCTAATTCAAAATATATTTATTTAGAATTATTCCGCTATTACTTTAATGTATCTTATTTTTCTATACAACGTGAAATTTTCAAAGTATTGAGATTGGTGTGTACATGAATCCTTTAGCAAAAGTAGGTATTGATTTATAAGTTAATAAAAATAATATTTTATTATATTTACTCGCTTTATAATATATTTTTGATGTTTTTGACCAAAATTAGTTCAACCTTAAAAAATACTTTTATTAAAAAAAAATATTATTATAAGAAATTAACTATGTTTAGAATTATAGATACAGTGATCATGCTGTTTCTTAAGCTTAGAATCGTTGTTCTTTTTAACTCAATGATTTATCATTATACATTTGTATATTTATTTATTCATCCATTAAACGGTATAGGCATGCTATAATATAACAGTGGGAGTTCTCCGGATTTTTCATTTGAGTGTCTATACTCGGGTTATATTGTCTGCACAAGAGTTTAAACTGAGTATGCATTCATATATTTTATATCAAGAGGTCTAAAATAATACCACAGTACACAAGCAATTTGTTATTACTATATTACAAAAAATGTAACATTCAATCGAATATTCGATTATTATCCGTTCGTACAATATTATTATATTACGTCATTATTCTATTTTAAAATAACATTTTGCAATTTCCATATATATTATATATTCAGAAATTAAGCCTTGACTTTTTTTTTTTTATTGAGTATTTTCATAATCGGATTTGGGCAGGTTCGTTTTTGTAAACCTAGGTAATAATATATTCGTAGAAAATGCTCAATAATTATTATATTATTTCATTTCATAAATAATAAATGGCTTTTAAAATAAAATATCGTAATTATTAAAGTGTAATTGAAAGGCTGAATAATGCTAGAGCATCACGACAAAGTTTCTCTGAAATGCTGGCAACCTAACCACAGTCTTGAAAAGTCCACGAATTACGCCAAAAATATAAATCATTTCGTGTTAATATTGGGCTCCGAAAAATTGCGGGTAAAGGGATAACAAATAGGTTTGGCAACTTTCCAACCAATCGTTCCTATCGTTGAAAAAAAAAGAGATAATTAAATCGGTTCGAACGAAAAAGTCGAAACGCTCTTAAACGATTAACAATCTACGGGCACATACAAATAAACGGCATATTATGAGAAATCTTGACTTTGAGTACATTTATGACTTTCAAGTATACCTTTATATGTAGACATTTACAAAAAGTATTATACGTTTAACACTCGATATTAGTTAATAACGGTGTTCGATTGTCCAACGGACCGGCACGGCCTTCGCTATAGCCAAATCATGTTAAATATCATACCCGTTACCGCTTTATTATTGTTTACTATTATTATTATATCATTATTTTTTGGCGGCCAACAGAATTTTATGCAGTTCGATTTCGTCATGTCCTGTACAGTTTGTCTTAGGTGTGTGGCTATTTTCCAATTACATTTCCCTGGATAATTTCCGCAGCACATTATATTATTTATATTTTACTATTATGCATACAGTAGGCATACACGGTGCTACCAACGTCTAGACGGGCAAATTGTTTCAACCGGTAGGTACGTGTCCAATCGGACTATTATTTCTACATTATAACGAGACCGTCTCGTGGAGGGGGTGGTCACGCGTGTGCGGGAGAGGTCCAGCCGGAAAGGTGAAAGTGGTCGCCGGGTAACCAACGCGCCGAAGGGCAGGGTCTCTCAACACGCGGGGGACGTGATCCGACAGCTTTTGAATGACATTTTTTTCCAAAAGCCAAACGGATTGGATTGCGTTTTAAAAATAAAAAACCTAAATAATAGTATTACGAAGTCGTGAACTCGTTGTTCTGCAGGCAGCCTTGTATAATGTATTATAGAGGTATATATAAACTTCAGTGTTATTATAATACAACGTAAAAAGTGATGTAAACGAACTCTTGTTCTCGGAGATGATCTGAACTCGAACTACTCAAATTGTATAACAAACAATTACCGAACTTAAAAATTATAAAACTTTAAAAAAATATTTTACCTCTTATAATTCCAGTTTATCTCTCGTCATCAAATTCGTATCTACGATTTAAAAGTCCAAAAGTTGTGTAAATTTACATTTGTACATTTTTATTAAACCGTAAAGATTATGAATCACGATTATAACATGTATTCATGAGTATTTCATATATACATATAATGTTAAGTATTTTTAATAAAAATCCCGCGTGTATCAACCAACACCCGACACACGTCTTAAATATAATGTTCATCCGTCGTACCCCAGCGGATATCCCAAACGTGATCCAGCTCTCCCTTTAAATTCTGTATACTCCTACGCGTGCTACATACGAATTATTAACCCATTTATAATATTGTT